AATCAAATCCCCCATAAGGACAAGACAATTCAGCCCCAGAACACTTACAGACAACTGCCTTAGACTCTTTAAAGGGGTGATAGGAAGGAAAAAGGTGGGGACTGTTATTTGAGCCCAGAGAGATCCAACAAACAATTGCCCCACATGACCTGACTGATCCTGGCTCAGAGAGTGAAGGGACTAGCCTTAAAAGATATTTTAGGGACACCTGGGAAGTTAGATGTGCCTGCATATGGATGACATGGCAGAACGACTGCTGTGAGTGGTATACACAGGAGACCCGCATTCCCAGGAGATATTTCGGGTGAACTGGCATGCTGTCTGCAACTTTACTTTTAAGCAGTTCAAAAAAGTACATATGCACCCCACACAAAGTGCATATACAGAGAGTGTGGGGGCACCCCAGTCTCCTCCCCCTCAATCTAAGCACTGCACCCCTCGATTCTCCCAAGTCTCATCAATAATAGTTCAAAGCCCTGGACTTGAGACCTTGAAGTATCCTGGAGTGGTCCCCACACAACATATACAGGCCCCCAGACCCAAGGAGATGAAGTGGGGGACGCTGCCTTCTCAGGGCAGATGACAACACTGGCTACCACAACAAGGAGAGCCTAGTCTTTCCTTTTGCTGGAGAGCTCAGTGAGGCCTCCGAGAGGTGCCCGAAGCAAAAGGCTGGAGGTGACCCCCTAACACAGAGCCTGCCACACCTCAGGGAAAGGTCAGTGTGGCAGGCAAGGGGCAGGTGCCGAAGGACCTCTTTCACCCCCAGCTCTGCACTGACACCCAGGGGGTGGGGTGGGGGGTGGGGATGATGTACCGAGACGGCTGCAAGCTGGCTCGCACCCCTGCCCTGATCTCTCAGGATTTTAAAGGCTTTGTACTAATTCCTGGAACAAGTCCAAGGTGTGGCTGGGATTGACATCATAATGAAACAGAACCAGAGATGTTGAAACCTCACTCAAGGAAACCTCACTCAGGGAAAACCTAGTTGAAAGCAAAGTGCAGGTCAAGGTCAAAGGGAGGAGGAGGAGGAAAAGGTGGGAGCAGGAGAAGGTGAAAGAAGCAGGCATGGCACAGACCGCCCGCCCGCTGCAAGCAGAAGCTCTGGGAAGCAGGAAAGCCACAGAAGTCCCACACCTGGGCCCGGGACCTGTGCCAGGGGAGATGTGCATTTTTTGGAAGGAGGCTCTGCAGCCCACACTGGCCCAGACATATTTTT